AAATTGAAAAAATATAGACCACTGGATCATTGTCAAAATGTGTTAGTAAGCAGATCCAATGGATCTAACACGCTGTGCATGATATGGTCACCTTTTAATAACCACACTGAATCCATAATTTAAATCATATTTTTTAAAATAAAGCAAAAAAGTTTGCCATTAGATCAAAGTCAAAATGCGTTAGCAAACAAATCCAATGGATCTTACGCACTGTACTTGATATGGACTTCAGCAAAAAACAAACAGAATCAATAAAAGACAACCCAATGAAATTAAAAAAATTGTCACACGATCATTGGTTGAAGAACGACATGTAGGTCGTCTTCAACCTCCAGATACATGCGCGTTGGGTTTTTATGAGATTCTTCAAACAAAGTCATTGAAGCTTAAACCGATATCATTGGATTCGTCTCTTCCAGACGATCCTAACCTTACCCTCGCGAAAAATTCTTTAAAACCATAACTTAGTCGATTTAAGAAAAACCAGAAGAAAAAGTTGAAAAGAGATTTGAAAACAGAAGTACCAAACTTAGTTACAGTTGAAAATGAACTATGTTATGAGAAACATTGAACCAAGAGCTACATTGTAGCAAGAAATTTGAAGAGAATTGATGAAGAATTTTACCTGTAGAAGTTCAACTTCAGAGCTTTGAAACTGGACTTGGTATACTTGATTCAATGCTCGATTCTTGGTGGTAAGAGTATGGTTAGCTTCAGAGAAGTTCAATGAATCTAACTGAATGAAGTTTTTGGTGAATGAGGGTGAGAAATAAAGAAAACAAAGATACAAATTCATAGTTCGTGTGGGATCTGAGCATGGCTTGTTTGGCTCTCTAAATCTTGAGGAAATTAGTGGAATGTGTCCCTTATTTATAGTTGAGCATGATGGAAACAAAAAGTGAGAGAAATGATCAAGTATGAGCGGAATTCATGTGCATTTACATCATGAGCAAAGTGTGACTTATAATCCATCAAAACTCACATAATTCTTGCGTTTCAAGGCTTAAACAGGTCTAGGCAAGTTTTTTAAACATGTTTAGATAAAATCACACATCAATTTGATGATTAGAAAACACAATAACCAAATTCACTTCTGACTGCAAATGAAATCTTAGTTTCAAATTTCCATATTCAAATCCATGGGGAAAGCAACTCAAGAGGCTCTATGGCATCATTATTGTTTCATTTGAAAGATTCCACAACAAACTTCACAATGTGCCAATAAAGGTAGCATTTGGTGATATGAGCTAAAAGTTATTCATGTTTGAAATCAAGAAAAACACATAGGTATTTGACACTTAAAAAAATTCTAAGTATGGAGCCTCAAAATGACCTATAATGTTCTTCAAAGTTACATGCCTTCCACTTAAAATTTGATCTTGATCCTTGAAGATGAAATGAATTAGACCTTTTGAATTGAATTGTGGAATTGAGATCATTCAAAAATCATAAAAAAAATGAAAGAGCTATGGTCTTTGGAAGATGATGAACAAATTTGGGGAAATTCACAAAAGACCTATAATCTTTTCAATTCTTTAATGACTTTCCAAAAATTTTCAAGTCTTGGATATTTAAACAAAGTTGTAGTAGACATCCTCAAGTTTATTATGAAAAAATAATGAGCTCAATGAGATAAAAGATGACCAAGTTGTGATCCTTTAAAGTCACACAAGAGAATTTGATGGCCTTCCCAAAGGACTTGTAATTTATCCTAATCATTAGTGACTTTCCATTCAAAATTAGCCTTAAATCCTTGAAGATAACTTGTTAAGTGCCATTTAAAGAAAATCATGGATTTGGAATAAATCAAAAATCTCAAAAAATGAGCAAGATATGGTCCTTGGAGGTCAGCAAACCCTAGCACAGAGAGTGCCAAAATAACTTGTAACCTATTTCAAATTTTCATGACTTTCCTTGCACATTTGGATATTTTCATGTGAAGATAATTTTTTGTAGATGATGATAATAACCGATAACAAAAATAACCAACTCAAAATATTGAAAATTAAGAGAGTTATGCACTTGTGATCACTGTATCAATCACTTGCTCAATTAGATCAAACTTGTTGAATCAACCTTGAATTTTTTGAACTTTCTTTGCAAAATAGAGCATGGTAGATCAAATTAGACCTTGAATTGATGTTGTCTTGAAGCACACTCAAAGTTGGAGCTTAAGTCTCAATGAAACTTGTTGAAGAATGTATGGAAATAAACACATGAACATATGAATCTTCTTGATGAATACCACCACCAAACTTGAGGAAAACATGACCTAAATAAAGTGAGAGATCTCTTTGAACAAAAAACTTTTATATAATTGTTGTACCCCAAAATTTTCCCTCCCATATTTCTCAAACATTTCAAGAAAGATCTCCAAGTTGCTCAAGGTTGCTCAAGGATTGACCAGACAAGCTATCTCCTAAGGCAGTCTATCCCAAATTAGGGTTTCACATTTCATCAAGATCCTTGATTCCAAGTTACCCCATGTTCTCACCAATGTCCTAATATATTCTCAAGATCATCCATGTCAAATTTCAAGCCTTGCAGAGGAAGTTTGCTCAGTCAATTGCTCAAAGGTCCAAAAGTCGACTGTGCTAGGGCAAAAGTCAACTGTGACCTACATACAGTCAAACTTCAAGATTTTTTGTCAACATTCTCATTTTGAAGTATATTTCATCATTTTATCAAGGGTTGATCATGATTCATCAAGGATTGCTCAAAATTCATCAAGACTCAAAAGTTGCTAAATTAGGGTTTTGTAGGAAAAGTCAACTCAACTTTGATCAAGCATAACCTTCTCATAATTTATGAGAAAAGACCCATCCAAATCTCATTTTGAATAGGATGAAATTTCCTACAATCCATATTCAGCTCCAAAGATCAAAATATGCACTCACAAGAAGTTATGAATTTGGACATTATAGGTCATTTTTGAAAGTCAACAAAAACACCTTTTTTGTCAAAGCTTCTAACTTGAGCATGGAATATCAAAATGAGATGAGACCAAAAGGGTTGATTAGAGGACATCTCAATATTTCTAAAAAGTCTAAGAACACTTCCAAAGAGTAAAAATTGAGGAAGTTATGCATTGTTGAAGTTGGACTTTTTTACAAAATTGCCAAAAGTCAACTATTCCCAAAACTTGAAATTTTGCCAAATGGGCCCATTCTTTTTCACTTGTTTTGAGTTGAAATTATTTCCCACGTGATCTAGCCTTGGCCATATGTCCATATCATATTTTTATTAATTATTTTTGATTTTATTTGAATTAATTTGATTTAAATCAAATAAAATCAAATAAAATCCAAAGCATTGATAACAATGGATCTTTTGATTGTTTCAGGTTTTAATCGTAGCTAGCAAGGCATTGAAACTCGAATCAAGGCAAGTTGTGTACAAAAAGATTCAAATCAAGCCAAATTTGGAAGGTTGTAAAAGAAAATCAAATCAAATATTCAAGCATTGATAGAAAGAGATTTGGACAGCAAAAACAAACCTAATGCTTTGTACATTACATAAGGGTCGTGTGCAGATCAAAATAAGGGTTGGAGATCAATTGGAGAGCAAGAACAAAATTTGCAAAAACACCAAAAAATTGTGAGATCGAAATCAAGTCTAGAGGCAATTTCAAGGCTTGGTGTTGGTCTCAATCTCTTCCTGGCCATCTCCACAAGCGGAAGCAACCAAGACCACGCGTTTTCAAGCTTCCCAGAGCACTGTAAGTCACTCACGAACTCACCATTTTCTTGATTTCGTATATTTAAATTTAGGCATAGTTAGCATGAATTGATAGCATATTCTGAATCTACAAATCATTTGCAAGCTTTTGGTATTACTCAATTGCATTTACATGACCTATAACTAGATCCACCATTGTTAGGGTTTCGTTTTTGTTTTTGGGGTTTTTAGTTTCAAGAACAATTATCCCTAATAATGGGCATGGTTGTGATCAGCAGAAGATGACGAACTCAACCATGGTACTAGAATTCATTTACATGGCATGTACAAGATTTTAGAGATGCCTGGCTTGTAGTGACGGACATCTGTCCGTGGGTATAGATCGTTTGGTTTTTAGCTACGGTTCAAGGAAGGGGATGATGAGTTGTCGCTTCCCCATTTGACCATTCAAACTAGCGCGCCTTTTTTTTAATTTTTGTCCACTGTACTGCTTTTTCTTTATATTATTATTGTTTGGTATTTCCTTAACAAATAAACATAAGCGCTCCAGTGGTAGCCACGTTGGCCTTAAGGCGTTTAGGGGCTGGAGGCCAGGGGTTCGATCCCTGCCTCCAGCATTTGTTATTTTTCCAATTTCTTTCAGGTGATCATGTGCACGCGTGAGCCAGATTTCCACCATGGACATTCACCATCAAAGTG